AGATGAGGTATTAGGTACACTATTTACATTATTCGGACTATTGTCCTCATCTTTGTCGCCATATTTATTACAACGTCTCGACCTTTCAGTATCTGTCTATATTTCTGAGATGAGGTATTAGGTACACTATTTACATTATCCGGAGTATTGTCCTCATCATTGTCGCCATATTTATTACAACGTCTCGGCCTTTCAGTATCTGTCAATATTTCTGAGATGAGGTATTAGGTACACTATTTACATTATCCGGACTATTGTCCTCATCTTTGTCGCCATATTTATTACAACGTCTCGGCCTTTCAGTATCTGTCTATATTTCTGAGTTGAGGTATTAGGTACACTATTTACATTATTCGGAATATTGTCCTCATCTTTGTCGCCATATTTATTACAACGTCTCGGCCTTTCAGTATCTGTCTATATTTCTGAGATGAGGTATTAGGTACACTATTTACATTATCCGGAGTATTGTCCTCATCTTTGTCGCCATATTTATTACAACATCTCGGCCTTTCAGTATCTGTCTATATTTCTGAGATGAGGTATTATGGGTACACTATTTACATTATCCGGAGTATTGTCCTCATCTTTGTCGCCATATTTATTACAACGTCTCGGCCTTTCAGTATCTGTCTATATTTCTGAGATGAGGTATTAGGTACACTATTTACATTATCCGGAGTATTGTCCTCATCTTTGTCGCCATATTTATTACAACGTCTCGGCCTTTCAGTATCTGTCTATATTTCTGAGATGAGGTATTAGGTACACTATTTACATTATTCGGACTATTGTCCTCATCTTTGTCGCCATATTTATTACAAAGTCTCGGCCTTTCAGTATCTGTCTATATTTCTGAGATGAGGTATTAGGTACACTATTTACATTATCCGGACTATTGTCCTCATCTTTGTCGCCATATTTATTACAACGTCTCGGCCTTTCAGTATCTGTCTATATTTCTGAGATGAGGTATTAGGTACACTATTTACATTATCCGGAATATTGTCCTCATCTTTGTCGCCATATTTATTACAACGTCTCGGCCTTTCATAATCTGTCTATATTTCTGAGATGAGGTATTAGGTACACTATTTACATTATCCGGACTATTGTCCTCATCTTTGTCGCCATATTTATTACAACGTCTCGGCCTTTCAGTATCTGTCTATATTTCTGAGATGAGGTATTAGGTACACTATTTACATTATCCGGACTATTGTCCTCATCTTTGTCGCCATATTTATTACAACGTCTCGGCCTTTCAGTATCTGTCTATATTTCTGAGATGAGGTATTAGGTACACTATTTACATTATCCGGACTATTGTCCTCATCTTTGTCGCCATATTTATTACAACGTCTCGGCCTTTCAGTATCTGTCTATATTTCTGAGATGAGGTATTAGGTACACTATTTACATTATCCGGACTATTGTCCTCATCTTTGTCGCCATATTTATTACAACGTCTCGGCCTTTCAGTATCTGTCTATATTTCTGAGATGAGGTATTAGGTACACTATTTACATTATCCGGACTATTGTCCTCATCTTCTTCGCCATATTTATTACAACGTCTCGGCCTTTCAGTATCTGTCTATATTTCTGAGATGAGGTATTAGGTACACTATTTACATTATCCGGACTATTGTCCTCATCTTTTGTCGCCATATTTATTACAACGTCTCGGCCTTTCAGTATCTGTCTATATTTCTGAGATGAGGTATTGGTACACTATTTACATTATCCGGCCTATTGTCCTCATCTTTGTCGCCATATTTATTACAACGTCTCGGCCTTTCAGTATCTGTCTATATTTCTGAGATGAGGTATTAGGTACACTATTTACATTATCCGGAGTATTGTCCTCATCTTTGTCGCCATATTTATTACAACGTCTCGGCCTTTCAGTATCTGTCTATATTTCTGAGATGAGGTATTAGGTACAGAATTTATTTACATTATCCGGAGTATTGTCCTCATCTTTGTCGCCATATTTATTACAACGTCTCGGCCTTTTCAGTATCTGTCTATATTTCTGAGATGAGGTATGGGAACACTATTTACATTATCCGGACTATTGTCTTCATCTTTGTCGCCATATTTATTACAACGTCTCGGCCTTTCAGTATCTGTCTATATTTCTGAGATGAGGTATTAGGTACACTATTTACATTATCCGGACTATTGTCCTCATCTTTGTCGCCATATTTATTACAAAGTCTCGTCCTTTCAGTATCTGTCTATATTTCTGAGATGAGGTATTAGGTACACTATTTACATTATCCGGACTATTGTCCTCATCTTTGTCGCCATATTTATTACAACGTCTCGGCCTTTCAGTATCTGTCTATATTTCTGAGATGAGGTATTAGGTACACTATTTACATTATCGGACTATTGTCCTCATCTTTGTCGCCATATTTATTACAATGTCTCGGCCTTTCAGTATCTGTCTATATTTCTGAGATGAGGTATTAGGTACACTATTTACATTATCCGGACTATTGTCCTCATCTTTGTCGCCATATTTATTACAACGTCCGGCCTTTCAGTATCTGTCTATATTTCTGAGATGAGGTATTAGGTTACACTATTTACATTATCCGGACTATTTGTCATCTTTGTCACCATATTTATTACAACATATTTTATCTGTCTATACAATTTACACTATTTACATTATCCGGACTATTGTCCTCATCTTTTGTCATATATTACAACGTCTCTGAGATCAGTATCTGTCTATATTTCTGAGATGAGGTATTAGGTATTTACATTATCCGGACTATTGTCCTCATCTTTGTCGCCATATTTATTACAACGTCTCGGCCTTTCAGTATCTGTCTATATTTCTGAGATGAGGTATTAGGTACACTATTTACATTATCCGGACTATTGTCCTCATCTTTCTCGCCATATTTATTACAACGTTTCGGCCTTTCAGTATCTGTCTATATTTCTGAGATGAGGTATTAGGTACACTATTTACATTATCCGGAATATTGTCCTCATCTTTGTCGCCATATTTATTACAACGTCTCGGCCTTTCAGTATCTGTCTATATTTCTGAGATGAGGTATTAGGTACACTATTTACATTATCCGGAATATTGTCCTCATCTTTGTCGCCATATTTATTACAACGTCTCGGCCTTTCATAATCTGTCTATATTTCTGAGATGAGGTATTAGGTACACTATTTACATTATTCGGACTATTGTCCTCATCTTTGTCGCCATATTTATTACAACGTCTCGGCCTTTCATAATCTGTCTATATTTCTGAGATGAGGTATTAGGTACACAATTTACATTATCCGGAATATTGTCCTCATCTTTGTCGCCATATTTATTACAACGTCTCGGCCTTTCAGTATCTGTCTATATTTCTGAGATGAGGTATTAGGTACACTATTTACATTGTCCGAATATTGTCCTCATCTTTGTCGCCATATTTATTACAACGTCTCGGCCTTTTCATAATCTGTCTATATTTCTGAGATGAGGTATTAGGGTACACTATTTACATTATTCGGACTATTGTCCTCATCTTTGTCGCCATATTTATTACAACGTCTCGGCCTTTCATAATCTGTCTATATTTCTGAGATGAGGTAT